AAATTCAAAGTCCAATTTAACTACTAAATTTAAAGTATTATCTAATTCAGTTTCAGGCTATTTCAAATTCTAATACGTAACAGACAGCAGCAGATAGTCTTAGTAGTTTTGTCATAAGGAAAAACAAACAAACAATTTAACCATCAAGAATACATCAACATATCAGGTATATCTTTATCATCACAATACTGATTGAAGAATTGATATAATAATGATGAACAAACCCTGAAAAATTAAAAGCGTAGTTTAAAAAAAAACATAACCGAGAGTCTCAACATATTTCATATAAAATGTTTAACATTTTTAAAAGATGAAATGTAGGTTTATAGAATTGTGACTGACAAATGCATATTAAAAAGACCGTTTTTGAACAACAACAGAAAACACAGCTTGAACGCCATCTTATGCAGCACATGGACGAAACGTTCAGATCAGAGATTTTTAAAGTATAGGAATAGTTATATCCAATTTTGAACTGTTGACCAAGAGGTGGAAAACCAGTAGGCAGCACTCATCACCTTTGCAGCTACTATTGATCGAAGGTCCGGCATGGCCAGGTGGTTAAAGTGCTCGACTCGCAATCTGAGGGTAGCGGGTTCGAATCCCTGTCACACCAAACATGCTCGCCCTTTCAGCCCTTTCGGGCGTTATAATGTGACGGTCAATCCCACTATTCGTTGGTAAAATAGTAGCCCAAGAGTTGGCGGTGGGTGGTGATGACTAGCTGCCTTCCCTCTAGTCTTACACTGATAAATTAGGGACGGTTAGCGCAGATAGCCCTCGTGTAGCTTTGCGCGAAATTCAAAAACAACAAAAAACAACAAACTATTGATCGAATGGCGTGGTTAACTGTCGCAGTTCTAACGCCTCCACAACTAACAAGCACTATAAGTTTTAGTTGTCGAGTCATATGTTAATAAAGTCTTTTCTACACTTAGCCCAAAGTGGGAACACGAAAGCACTCTGGTGATTTTGAAATGAAATGCTGTACTTGTGATAACAATTTCCGGTTTATGGCGGTAGATAGAAAAAAGAAATATGCAAAATAAAGTAATTAGTAAAAAAAGGAACATAAAATGACAAATTACTCAAAATGAAAGGTCGAACGGTTAGAATTGACTACAAAATATCTAGGACATTCAACGAATGTTTATAAACGTTTTAAATAAATTCAAAAATAAAGTGAAAAATTAAAGTCTAGTATAAAATTAAAACATTTAATGCAGACATCTGTCAGGTAGCACTTATATAATTCGTTTGGTTGCTGTTAAGCACAATGTTCTACTCTAAAAGATTCTTATTATTAGGTTTGAGGCTTACCTTGAATATTGAGCGAGACGATTATATGGACCAGATAGTTCCAGAATATGGCGCTAGACTGCTAGTTCATGCATTCGGAACAATTCCAAGTTTACAACAAGGAGGAATCATCTTGAGACCAGGGATAAAATCATATGTCAGCATTAAGATGGTATGTTGGTTAGCAGTGTTTCGAATGAAAACTGAAACAATAGCAATATCCTATATTTTAGTGTGATTTTTTAAATTAAGAAAGGCTTAATTGGTTTTAAATTTGCCTTTATTCAATCCAGAATATCTCGCAAAATCACATTAAGATTTACTGCTTAGAATTAACACGTTTCGCTAAAGCTAAAACCAGTTTCTTTTTGAAATCAGAATACTTCTTCCCAACTCCCCATTTAATTTAACGTACAGACTCACAGTTCCTTGAAATTAAATTATATAATTATTTAATCTACAATAAAGAATATAATATAGCTAAACTTTTAATAAGATTCATAGTAAAGTAATCAAGACTGAGGTTGTAGAGCTAGCTGTCTTTAATCATTATAGGGGTATTATGTAGCTTTCAATTATATTAACAAAGAGTTTATTTCTCATTGATCGTTAGACCATTTAGTTCATGTTACACAGTTTGAGTTTATTCATAAAAATACGAAAATATTTAATCCTTTGTTTCTTAATTTTAGAATGTTTGTTATCTGATCTTTTTAGGTTCATACATATTAATATAAATTTGTGCACATACACATTGCTTGAAACTTCCTCCATTGATTTTATTCGAAATATATCACAGAAGTATTATTACCATTATTTTGTTTTAATGAAAAACGAGTTTTCAAAGTACTTTGCATTAATTTTAGATCAAAGTTTCCGAACTTTCTCAGACCCAGCAAACAAATTTACTGAAATAGCTTACTCTATAAAGTCAATGTCATTAATAACTTTAGACAAAAGTAAGCTAGCTATAAAGATCAAAACTAAAAAGTAAACGATAAATTCGTGAAACTATCTTTCTCAAATAAATTGACAAGAATAACGTAATGTCACAAATAAATACACGAGAAAACTAGAAACCTATAATGATTAGAATGCATTGGATCATCATTTGTAGACTCTCGCTATTAACGATATTTTTTGGCTCTAAGCCAAATCACGCGCTGTTCAATCTCTCCAGTATTTTGCTTGTTTGTTTGTTTGTAATTAAGCACAAAGCTACACAATGGGCTATCTGTGCTCTGCCCACCACGGGTATCGAAACCCGGATTTTAGCGTTGTAATTCCGCAGACATACCGCCCATTATTATGCAAGAAATAGTAACTTTTAATTTTATAATATGTTCTTGAAACTAAGTAGATTCCATAGACTCTTAATCTTGTAATACTGGACTAGCGTCTTCAATCAGTTTCTGTATTATCATTTAATATCAACGTGAAAATACTTATTTTATCTTGAGATTTAACTTACTAAGTAAGAAAATATATAAAATTCACACTATCTATTGTTTTTGTTTTAGAAGGAAAACTAATATTTGGAGTTCAGCATTTTCTGTGATTGGACTTACTTAACTTGTTAAGTCTGAGAACTATAGAGATTCCACATAAAACAAAATAGCTTGATAACGTATATATATACATATATATATCATTTTATATATATTTTTAGCGCAAAATAGAGAGGCTTCCGGAACCCTACCGTGGCTGTAGCAGTTCATTTCAATCCAGTCCACTAGGTGACTACTTACGACAGAATGGTCAGGAGTATTTACTACTAAATAAGGTCTATACGTATGAGGTTGGTATTATTTTAGTGACTTGTAAATCGTTCAATGATGTTGTGTTTTTTGTAAGACAAATTACTTGCAAGGTTGATTGACTTGATAGGCTACTTACCCAAGTCTGCAGAGCGTTTACCACTTGGTAATTTTTTTTTTACAGTTGGAAACAGAGGAGCTAATTTTTGTTATTAACATCAGGGTAAGACTCTTCACGTAGAAACGAACTTAGCTTTATATAAAAGAAGGAAGTTAGGAACATGTTTTTTTTATTTAGTTTATGAAAGATATTTGATATTTTCAGTCTGAATGTCATCGTATGCGACACGTTGCCCAGAGTACCTATAGTTGAGATACGGACATCTTTAATCTGGAAGTACTGAACAGAGGGAGGCCAATCAGTCAGCAGCATCTTTGCTAACCAGCTAGCGGGATTGAAAAAAAGTCAGTTATAACCAGCACACAGCTGAAAGTGCGAAGCGTATTCAGAGGCATATCTGCAGTCCAGCATGCTAATCTAATTTATGAATATAAATAAGAGAATGCTAGAATTCAAAATTCTACTCATCATTAATTGGCGTATTTAAGACATTTAACTCGGGCTTTAGAATATTCATTAATATTAACAGAATCATATCGTTTCTGAGTAGCCTAGATTTTTGTTTAATAATATTTAAATATAACACAAGAAATTACGCTTCACTCTTATGCTGTGTTCATGTTTATAATCCGGAACAATTGTTTCGACATAAAAAAAGAGACAGGTATTTGAGAAACTTTAATCGTCCGTGTTCACATTCCAAATATTTGATCCTGATCAACGCTGTACAGATGTATGTATTGTTAGTGCTAAAACAGCACACCAGCTGGCTCTCCTTGTTGATCAAAATATCTGATAAATAAAATCTCACGAGGTATTCAATCGTAAAACGCCTTCCTGTAGCGGAATTCGAAAAGTCACGTGTTTACACTATATCCGATACTATTATAACAAACGTGTCAAATTAGCTTTACGATAATTATGGTAAATTTAATTTGTAACAGTGCAATCATCATTCGAGTAGAATAAAGTGCTTTATTATTCCCCTTTTGCTTAAGTATTCATATTTTTTTTACAAAATATGTGTTTTCAATTTTTACATTATTGCAATACTTCACATGTTGATTCCAGTTTTATTTGTGAATAGCACACTCTGCCTACTGTAGTCCACTCTCAGAAAGCCGAAGATTTGATCACAGAAACTAATTAGCCTGACCGGGTTATAACTCAAAATAGAAATGCACACATATTGTTGTTGGAATGTTGTTATCAAGGACTAGCTTTTACATAAATTAATGCCGTGTTCCATCCGGCAAAAAATCCGATATTTCGCATGTCCTTATAAATAAAATAAACGTGATGAGTGTAATTACTGTGACACTAGCCAATACTTTCTCACCAGTCAAGAGATTCGTATACTGAAACCACAGGTCACAATATTTCGTTTAAACATTTCTCCATTGTTGCCACAGGATCGTCACACCTTGAACTCCGCATTAAAGAAATATTAGTAATACCAAAAGAACGCTACGTTCTTAATGATTTACAAACATCCTTAGGTCTAGAATTATTCTAAATAGCTTCACTTAATACTCAGTCGTTCGTTAAGAATAGTTATAATTATGGTTAATGTCTCATGCAACTTGTAATTCTGTTACATATTATGTAATGTGTACTTCCTTTTGCTTACCTCCTTACCGAATACTTTAAGCGAGTTAGTTATTGTTGTTAATATAATATTAATTAATAGATATGGTTATAATATTACTGCATTTGTAAGACTACCAACCGCCTACAAGTAACTATCACATCCTATAAACTTCTCACCTCTTGCTAGCTCACAAAACAAACAACGTCATTCAATTTCAGTCATTAATTTACTAATTAGCTGGACATATTAACCGTTAGACAAGCATATAATTTCAACTATACTAATTAGGGTGCTGATGTTACAGTCTTAGTCAACCATCAGAGTAGTGAAATCCACCCTCTACTTATATTTCTTCACCTCATGGAATGTCAGATATGTGCTACCAACATATTCTTCCGTATCATAAACAACCTACATACCCATCTTTGATTCCCATAGCAATAAAGTTTTGAGAGTTTCACCAATGACATATAGTTTCAGTTTGTTTATGTTTTTAACATACTTGTTCACGTCACATGACCACTGTAACTCGTAGATTACCTCGTTGAGCTGTTTACACACCAGACATGGATTAATACAACAATAACAACAACAACAACCAAACTTGCTTACATGATGCAGTGGTGTAATCTAGACAGCTGAGGACCATTTAAATCCAGAGTAATTTTCTGCAAAGGAGAGTCTGCATATCTCTACCAGAGTTTTCCTTTTCATGATGGATTTCCTCTGAGCAGCACACACATGGTACAGTGTTTTCATTATCTTCAATATCGTTACACAATTGCAGTTGTAAGATTCATTTCTGCACATTTGTGACAGTATATGGTATCTCCTTATATTCTCTAGTTCTTGCATTGTGCATAATCTAAAGTATTTTGTACTTTAGATCTTTTGGAACCACTATCTGCATCATGGATCATAAAAATGGTACAACACACCATCCCGTCTTTGTAACTGTTATACAGGTGCTAGATGTTATGTGCATCAGTAATACATTCAGTTTAAGTCAGTCATGCTTCACCTTGCTGCACTGAGTCCTTCATTTGCTCTTCATGAAGTTCTCGAGTATTTATTTTCGTGTCCACCAATAGGTAGAATTTTCATCACCTGCATATATATATTATCATCGTTGCTGCGATTGTTTGGAAAGATGCACAGTGTTTAAAATCTAGATATAAATAAATGGGCATGTTCTTACCATTTGGCAAGAAAATGAGACCATTAGTATTTCCATGTTATTGACCCAAACCATATTATAAAGTGAAGTTATGGTCTTGTAGGGTTGTTATCCAACATGCAGTCATACCTTTCAGAATACTTATCTTTATCAGCTATTTCTGTTAAGCATGCTCCTCAGATAGTGAACTTCCTATCATTTAAGTAGTGATGATAGTGTTTGACAGATACTACAATTAGCTGAGTGTACCAGTTAAGGAAGCAAAAATTGTATAAAATAAAATATTAGAAAATATTTCCCTTCCTTCTTTCTTTTATTGTTAAATCTTTAATGACCTCATTAAATGCTAATTGCATACCCTGCTTTATGGATGGTTATAATTTTAATAAATAAGAACTTGTGTCTTTAAATTAAAAAAAAAGGTCAAAATGTGTCCTATTTCAGGTTTTTCCTCTTCTTGGGCAAATATCCTAAAAACGGATAGTCAGGTAGTTTCCAGTTACAATATAAAAAATTACGAAAATCGAGCTAATCATCTATGGTTGATCTGAATACGTTTTTAAGACCTGGGTGTACGAATATTTTCCATCAGAAGTGGCTGTGACGTACCTCTCCCAGAAGCGATAATTTTCGGTGGCGTCACATTATCTACGAAATGCCAAACAAAGTGAAAATGTAGTTCTAATAAAGGCCTTTCCAACACGACTTTATATCAACTGTGGTTATTATATGGCTTACGGATTTGCATGTTCAAAATAATCTTAATACAAGCACTTAACCTTTGTATCTCACTATCACTGATATTGGTATCTACTATGAAAGAACTTCAAAACCATTTCTTTAAGAAATGGAATGCTTGCTCATATAAGTTCATCCACTCAAAGTGCGTATCTTTCTTATTCTATACAGGAAGTGGTGATAGACGTTGAAAAATATGGCCAAAAACTATTAATAGTACAATGTGAAACCTAGAAAGCAATGGACTTTACATTTGGTCTCCGTATTGGAATAAGTTTTTAATGACTGTGATCTTTGCAGGATCACTGGACACTCTGTTCCTGCCAACAATCTGACCAAACATTTCACTTTAAAACATTCTTCTTTGATAAAAGAAAACACCATTCTTAGGTTATCAGTTGTGGAATTAAGTATATAGCCAAAAAACATGCCATCTACTTAGGTGAGATAGCTTTATCATTGAAGCTCTCTTAGTGTAAGCTCCATACGCCTTTCCAAAGAGGCAGAGGGGTTACACAGGCCCAACTGTATATTAACAAATTCATACAGTTTTTCAGAGCTTTACGTCTACTTTCATCATGCAGTTTTACTTTCAGTAACCTTTCATTGTATCCAGACATTCATCCATTCAAAACAAAAGAAAGGCATTGCGTGGGTTACTGCATTCACTCGCCATAAGCTTACACACTACCTTGGAGTTCCATCCTTCCTCACAATAAGTACAACAAATGACCAAACATTCTTTAAAAGTTTCGTTATTCCATCTTTGAACATCCACTTGATCTAAATATGGGAAGATTACTGTTGCATCAAGAAAGCCTACGTGGTGATGGTGATTGTTGTATGAAATGTGCATCATCTGTGTCTATATTATGATGTGTCATTTTTGTTATACTCAAACGACCACCTAGCTCTACAAACACATTGGCAAACTTTATGAGCTAGTAATGAGTTCCTGTCTCTGATCGGACACAATCCTCTCTCAGTGATTTCACATGTCCAGGAAGCCACTTATTTACTTTCAGATGTCTTACAAAAATGCTAGTTATACAGCTAGTTGTGTCATCTTTATCTTTGTTAGCATTTTAATGACCATTTCAAGTAGAAAATGAATAATCAAATTTTTATAATAGCAGAACAGAACCAACACAAGGACAAGATTCGCTCCAGTAATCTTTTGAACAATCTTGACAAAAAACAATAAATTTCCGGCATCTGTTCTTTGACCTAAACAGACGGAATCTATCCACTAGACGTCATCTTTAGTACATCACAGAACACAATTTCAACCATTGGAGGTCCTCCTACACCATCCCTTTAAATACTTGCAAGTTAACCTGCTTTGTCTTACATCCAATATGAAATGTAGTTGCAGGCAAGTACTTCCTGCCATAATCTCTTTTACTTTATGGATGAGGTGCCCTCATTGCTAGATGAAGGATTTCATTTCCCTCAACTTGGAGACATATACATTGTGACAAGTAGAATATACTTGAGCAATCTCAACAGCAGAATGTCGTGGTACATAGAAATATTCATCACCTTTGCATTTCATGTTCATCACAGCTAAAAGATGTGGTCTTAGGATGTTATTACTTTACCTTACCAACATAGAGGCCATGTGACTGCAGGATTGTGGTGAAAGTTTGGCTACTCAACCTGATGGACTTTGTTCTCCACATGCATTCACCTCTCTCTTGTCACAAATGATTCTTATATGCTGTTTAGAAATGTATGAGCTAGTTAATGAATGTCTAGGAGCCCCATAGATACCACCCCAGTTGGATGTAGGACGTCTAGTTTAGTTGTTAGTATTGTGATCCACCCATGCTATATTATGTTCCTGTATACAGAAGATAACGAGCAGAGATAAAGTTGCTTAGCAGATGTGGTTTCTTCTAGCCTCTCTTTCTACATTTTTGGTTATGACGACAGGCTGAGAGTGTGCTCTTGGCCCAGAAGAGGGACTTTTATAATCCTCATCCCACTCTCAGATAATCTTCTCACCGCAACTGCAACATCCTCTTCTCCATCTCAGATTCTAGGAAGCTCAAGTAGGCAATATTTTCATGATCATGAAATGCAGACTTTATAGTTGCCAAAGAGACAAGTGGAACAAAAAGTCACGATCAAAATAAACTTAAAAAAACAAACCCTTAACTACGAAATCAAAATGGCAACATTATAAATTATTCTATGATAAACTCGGGTAAAACTGGAGGAAAAGAAAAGATAAAAAGAAAAGTATTAAATTTGTAATATGGATTTGAGAATAGAAAATAAATGAAAGACTATAACACAGATAACAATAATCTTTATTACAAAATTGAGGAAAAACAAAAACAATTGTACGTTTTACAAATGTTTCTTTTATTCACGACTATGGTTTCGCGAATAAAGGCATCATCAAATACAGACTGAAATACTGTGTAAAAGGTTTATCTGTTTAAACAAACAACCAGAAGTAACCTTGACATTCAACTTGAGACAAGTGGGGTGAGGAATAGGAGGAGCTTAAGTTGGTTTGGTTGTTTAGAGCTTTTTCTGGATTTGTTTTTAGACATCTATTCATTTCTAAAATTTTCAGTCTACCTAATTTTTTACTTTATTCACAGATATGTAAGATTTTGCAGTTCTCTCTGTATCAAATTGGTGTTTAGTTTCAATAACGTGGGATGCAAAGGTTGAGTCCATATTTTATTAATTTCCAGCTTCTAGAATGTTCTTTAATTCTCGTTTCTATGGAACGTCCTGTTTGACCTATGTATACACTATTGCAGTCTTGACACTTTAATTGGTATACACTGTTGTTGCTGTACTTTTTTATTCTGTCTGTAGATTTCTTTGTTCAGCATGTTATATATTTTGTGAGAAGGTTTTACAATGTAGCTTATCTTAAACCATTTCTTTTTTCTTTGCTTCGTTTGGTACAGTATGTGGGTATATTAATTTTAAGTTTATGGCTTTTCAAACTGTAAAACGACCAGGTATTTGCAGAGTTATGCATTCACTGCATCTACAGTGAATTTTGAGTTCAGATTTGTTATTTAATTAATAACACTTTCACATTTAATCTCACCATTTTTTTTAGATCCAACGTCTTTTTTTTATTAGCCAAGATGCTGTTGCAGGTGTAAAGTCAAACAGATTTTTCCATGCAGTAGCTATATTAAAAGTCACAAATTTCACATTCATTTCACTTACTCTAAATTTTCACAATTCTGATTATATGTCTGTTTTCATGAATTATGATGACTCTCCATTCAGTTTTATAATGTAAATATATTTTAAAATCTAGGAAAAACAGATATGTGGTAAATAGAAAATGATCAATTTTATAAGAGCTCGTTTCTTCTAACTGTAAAAGTTCCTGGTAGGTTTTCAATAAAAAAAGTAATAAAATCTCCAATTTATTTTTACAATTTAGTTAATTTTGCAATATTGCATCTCTCGCATAAGATATGTACTGTTTACTATAAGCGAACAAACATGATACCGACGACGTGCCTGAATTGAAAGTGTAACATTTTTCTAAGTTGGAACAACCATCATTGATTTTTAGCATTTTTATTTTCTTATTAGGTTTCAGTGACAGTTTTTAAAACTTCCATGTAAATAAGTCTTTTCTATATTATTATTATTATTATTATCATTTTTAGAAGGTAAGTCGTATTAGTCATTGGAATAGTTGTTTTATATATTTTTTCCTGTTGATAGTACTGTCAAGCCCTTTGTCAGGAGGCCGAGTTACTTCAAATGTGTGGATGTCTGGGGGAAATTTCTCGCGAAGGTAACAATTCTTGTGACGCCTGCAATTTAACACAAGGTAAAGTATGACGTAATTTTAGTGTTAACACTTACTACGTTGGTTATAGTGAGAGTAATTATTGTAGTTTTAAAGACAGTATTATTAATGATAATGTTAAAGTAAAGATAACTCATTAAATAGATTACAAAAACAATGAATAAATCCGATGTAATGGAAAACGAACTATGTATGTTGTTACTAAACTTTCTAAATGTTTAACATTTTAAAAAATATAATTTATTTTTATGTTTGGTAATAATTAATAAATATAACGTGCTTTAAAACGTCTTAAGTTCTTATGTCTGCACGAATTCATCATTTCTTCACTACTGCTGGGCAGTAACCTGTTATAATCACTTAAATACTAACTTTTAAATAAGCGTACTAACCGATGATATTTTTGTATGTCAATGTTTAGCTACTTATTATTGGTATCAGCACTTCTTTCACGGATATATTGTTTTTATTATATTTTACAACAATTTTGTGTAATATGCTCCAAATGTTTCTTGTCATTTTCACTAATTATTCAACTTAATTGCTACAGTCAGTTTATTATTTAAGTAGACGAGAATCTGAAATATTGAAGAGATGTTTAATTAGTTGATTTTTTAAAATAAAAATTATCATTATTTTAATATTCACCCCCAGTTATTTGTTATTATTTATGAATGAGAAAAATTAGATAACTATTTATATTGACATTACAGTGAACTGTCGCAGGCAATTCTTCAGAAAGTCTGCTATGGGTAACACCAAGTGTTTCACACTTTGTAAACCAGCATGTCAGTAAGTACAACATTACCTATTTGGGAGAACTTTATACACCTACAGATTCAAAAACAACTAACGCTAAAACAGACTTATTTAATTTGTATTAGTTAAAGGTAACCCATTTCTTAAGTTTCTAATTTCGTGTTTTATAATTATATATAGTTTGTAATACTTCACTATTTTCTGCCCCCCAGTGGCAAAGCGATATGTCTGCGGACTTACAACGCTAGAATCCGGGTTTCGATACTCGTGGTGGCAGAGCACAGATAGCCCATTGTGTAGCTTTGTGCTTAATTACAAACAAACAGTATTTTCTATAAATATAATATATTTTGTTTTGCGTAATATTTTTAATGCTGTCTCTGTTATTTTAAACTTTTAAAATTGTGTTTGCAAGTGAAGTAACGTTTTAAAAACTGGTATCTTTCAAATGCGTTCATCCACGTGATATTTAGTATGTTTCTCAAAACCACGAATTCATGATTTTAAATTATATTCTATACTGAAAGTTAAGTCTAACTTTTAATTATTTACCCTCGTCCATTGTTCTGCATAATCAGGTTTCATAGAGTATGAAAGTAAATATATTTGATTATTTAAGTTGTTAAACATATCAATGGGTCACTGGTAATAAAAGTTTGTTTTACAAGTTAATTGAACAAAGGAAATTATTTTGGTAGATTAACAAACAAGATAACTTTTCTGATTAAACAAAGATAAACAATGAAACAGATATAATAAATAGAAGAACATATCGTTTTTATTTCTTTTTAATAAACGTCATTTAATAAGTCATATTCAAATTTCATTAGTTAAGCCTTAAAAAAAAGAAAAGCTAGGGCGTTAGCACCTTTAATGTTGAAGAATTAAATAAAAAAATGGCCAGATTTATAAGTCTTTGTTTGTTTGTTGTTAAGCACAAAACTACAAAATGGAATATCTGTGCGCTGCCACTGCTGGTGTGAAAACCCGACTGTCAGCATTATAAGCCCTCAGACTTGCCACTGAGCCACAGGGAGGCGTATAGGCACTTGTGATATTATAATAGAATGCTATTCTCTGGAATGATAAATTGGATTATGTTTTAGGATTAATAACTTTTATATTACATCGCCTTCTGCGCCGTTGACCGTTTCTGACACCACTTTGTTACAAGGTTGTGGCTATTTCTATCAGGAATTGATTCACATCAAATGTAAACATAACAAATTTCTCTTTATTACTTTATCAATAATATATAAGAAATTTAGGTTTTGTTTCTTACTGGCAGTATATTTTCTTCTTTCCCTCTTTCGGTTTGTTCTGTTAAACGCCCACCTTTAATATTTCTTTCTCAAAACCACGCCAATAGGTCCTTTTCTGTTGGACCTTGCACACATCTTTTCCGTAATTAGGATTATAACATTATTAATCTTATGGGGGTTCCGTAAACTACACAGCGGCTAAACAGAAAAGACATCTGATCTCTTCAATAATTTTCTAAATACTTAGGGCTGTAATATACTCATCCCTTAGGAACTGACCAAAAGTCGACCGCTTTCTTAACTCTCTCAACCCCAAGCGATTCTTACACCGAATTTCATAACACCTTGGTGACACAATGGTAAACTTAAAGGCTTATAACGCTAAAATTTGGGGTTCCATCCTATGATCGAGATAGAGCAGTTATCTCATAATGGAGCTTTGTGCTTATGCAAAAACAAACAATAAACAAATCAAATGGATTCCGAAAAAGAAACGTATTGTTTGGATCAATGACTTTCAACGAGTGGGACATAATGATGGCTTCTTGATTCAAGTTACAACTCTTATTAACGTACTTTCTTTTCTGTTATTAGACTATGAAATAATTATTGTGTTGATATTACTTATCTAAAATTGATAATAACAATACAACTTTCCTAATGTGCCACCTATGGCTGAATAGTTTAGGTTAGGCTTAAATTTATTTTCTTTTTAACTAACCAACATGAGTATAATATAAATTAATTATTGATAAATAATTTGATTACTAATACTTGTAGTTTATAATAAATTTCAAGAAGCTTCACTGGCATAAGAAGGCTTAATATATATGTATATATATATAATAACTTAGTTTATAAAAATACAAATTGTTTTATAGTCTTATCATGATATATCGAGTACAAGTAAAAGTACCCATCTCCAGTAACGGCAAAAGTTTCAGTTAATCTATCAATTTGAATTATTTCATGGACTTTAAGTTAATTGTGTTGCACTCTGGATTTCATTGAAGCCAAAGCTCCGAGTTGCTTATACCGCCCACTGCGAAAAGTAATTGTTGAGCATTTTAGTCATGATAAGAGCCGCTCAACAATGACATACGGTAAATCTACATTTTTATTTTTTAAGTTACGTCACATTTTGAAATGTGAATGATAGTGTCATGGATTCTTAACAATTTAATGTAGAATATCTTGCTTGTGAAATAAAATTTGACATCACTATTATTCATGCCTGTTCTCCCGTCATTTCAAAAGTGAATGTTGAACTTTGTCTGCGTGCACAGCTTTTCAAACGGGAGAGAGACACCACGGTTTGCGATATATACATAAAATTTGGCGATGTAATAAGTCATATCACGCCGTGTTTTATATTTTCGTTAAAAAAGTTTTTGAGATAGTATGAAAAGAAATTAGGCAAGAAAATATACTTATTATAAAGTAATTTACCTAAAGTATCAATAACTCGAAAACCTTTTGAGTTTTGATTCCAGAGTCTTCATTGATTTCGAGCTCATAGAATTTGAAAGGATCTGCAGACAGTTCATTTGATATATTTGTGTCATAAATTTTGATTATTTATTTCATGATAAGAGACATTCGGTACGACATGACAGTGTCCCAGTCCGATTGGCCCAGCTTACCCCACCAAGCGGAAGTTTTGAGGAGATGGCCAAATCTAAATTGGAAGCTTGCCAACCATGTCATTACCCATACCCCTGAAGACCCGCTGAGTCTGCAGCAAGAAGAGTTTCAATATCACAACCATAAATTTGTATTTGATGTCGATTCAATTAGGTAGTACTCTATAAACATTTGAAGAAGTTCTAAAATTAATTTGTTTTTGCTTTAAACCAATGATTTTAAAAACGATGTGATGGTAACATGACACAGTAATTCCTACCTTCATTTCCCCCTTTAAATTTGATAATTTATCTGTATTTACTCCCACAAACATTTCTTCTATGAATTAAAATACTTCGCAAGGATGAGGCGTCTAGAGCAAAAATCTATGTATTTGAAGTTACTTTCTTCCATTGAAATCTTCCAGTTATTTATGTTTAGAACGTCTAGCACCACAGATGATTAATTCTTCATTCCACTACGGATAACGTGTACTTAACTTGGAAATAAATAATATTGATTTTTATTCTCAGTTCCTATTAAAAATATGCAAATGCTATGAAACATTCATCAAGTTGGTTAACCACTGGTTGCATTCTATGAAATAAATATACATTAAATCATTTAAATAAATTTGTAAAAAGCTAGTGATTTGTCCAAAATATCCGCTTGCTCTTCTGTCTACAGGGTATTGAGTACAGTTTTTTTCCTAATGATTTTTCAATACTAATATTGCTTTACTTAACACTTGAAAGGCTGAGGCTTAATAAAATAGAGGTGGTTTTATAAATTGGATTGTTTAACTTCGTTACATTTTAATGGGACCAGCATGGCCAGATGGTTAGGGCGCTCGACTCGCAGGGTCGCGGGTTCGAATCCCCGTCACATCAAACATGCTTGCCCTTTCAGCCGTGGGGGCGTTATAATGTGACGGTCAATCCCACTATTCGTTGGTAAAAGAGTAGCCCAAGAGTTGGCGGTGGGTGGTCATGACTAGCTGCCTTCCCTCTAGTCTTACACTGCTAAATTAGGGACGGCTAGCGCAGATAACCCTCGTGTAGCTTTGTTTGAGTTGTTTGAAGAGCTTTTTGCGCATGCTCCTTAACTGTGGCAGCTAGGGTTCGGGTCGTTGAATATTAATATGAGGATGTTTAATAGTTTGTAACACTCGCAAATGGAAAAAAAAAAACAACAAAGAAAAAAAAGCTTTCTTGTTACTTTATCAATACAACTAATAAATGTGAAATATAAAACAGAAATATTGAACTTAAAGTTAATAGATAATGCTATATCGTGCTTAATTAATGTCTAACTTATTGCCGTTCATTGCTTTAGCTTTAATTACTTTTCTTATTTCAGACGTAACCTCCTCCGAGTTCACATTTATTTACAAGAAATGAATTATTTCCGGGTTAAGGACGAGCCTGGCTATACTGTAAGTTGTAACTGTTCTGTTATCATTGTTTTCCTCGTAGCACACCTGTGTTAATTGTATGTAATGTTTCGTATTTGCCCCATAGCTATATTAACATTAATTGTATTGGTGTAAAGAGTATATCAGGAACATTATTTGTGTTTTATTTTTTTCTATATATTTTTCAGTCTTCAAAAATGGATCCAAGTATTACGTTATAACCCTACACTGTTGATGTAATACAGTAAATTCAATTTTAGCTTAAACACTAAAAAATAAGACAAAAGAAGCGAAAATTATGTTTGTAATTTTTTTATGCATTTATGCGTCTTACATGTTTAACGGAATAATACAGCTGCGACAGAGAAAAAAATTAACAAGAGGGGAATCATCCAGATTCTCAAAATTTACCTTCATTATTATTTATAGAAAATTGGAAAGGTTCGATGTTTCTGTTAATCGTAAATCTACACAATAAACTAGTTGCGCTGAACACAGCGCAAGGAATTGAATCCGGAGTTTTTGTGTTATAAACCTTGTGAACGCAATGGTTCGACTCTCGTTCTCTAACGTGATAAATTTATGCTAAATTCACGAAAACAATATTTGATTTATTAAGTATACCTGATATAATAGAAATAGTTGCAAAGCGAATCACATCAGAATTTTGACCTTACGAAGTTTTATAATTTTTAACAGTTTACAATAGTATTGTTTATTTGAGTGCCCAAAATACAATACTAACATGAAAAAATAATTGATTTTGAGTAACTCGTCTTTGGTTCGAATCTGATTAACAAAAAAAGTAAATAAATAAAAAATGTGTGTGAATTATTTTCTTCCTTTTTTAAATGGTTTTTCTTGCATCCACAAAAGAAATGAGCAACAATGAAATATAAATTGGATCCACCAATATATCACTTTATTTTGGGAAAATGCAATAAAAATGTGTTATGTTGACAAAGAACTAATTCTGAGAAAACAACAACAAACAAGTGAACAATAACAAAAATGCCTGGCATGGCCAGGCGTTTAGGGCACTCGACTCGCAATCTATGGATCGCGGGTTTGAATCCCCGTCATACCAAACGTTCGCCCTTTCATCCGTGGGGGCGTTATAATGTGACAATCAATCCCACTATTCGTTGGTAAAAGAGTAGCCCAAAAATTGGCGGTGGGTGGTGATGACTAGCTGCCTTTCTTCTAGTCTTACACTGCTAAATTAGGGACGGCTAGCGCAGATAGCCCTCGTGTAGCTTTGCGCGAAATTCATAACAAACAAACAATAATAAAAATAATAAAACACGTAAGATCAAACACCTGCCTTAAAAGTTATCGGATAAGTTTATGTTTGGAAAGACTAACCTGTTTTATAGGCTATTAAAGAGATACGACAACAAACAAATGAATAGTAATTAATATAATAAAACTCGTAAGATCAAACTGGTGCTTTAAAAGACATCGGATAAGTTTTTGTTTGGATTTTTTTTTCAAAATTATATCTAAATAGATGTTTTACTAACATGTTTTATAAAAAATAATTATAATCTAGTAACAATATTTGTATAGAGAATGACTATCTTATTTTTAGTGTTAAGTATTAGAATTTCAATTAGCCTGAAATTGGGTTAAATAATACTTTAAATTTAGTAGTTAAATTGTACTTTCGATTTAGCAGTTAAGTAAAAGCCGATATATATAGTCAGTTTATGATATTTGCCAATAAGATTGATACATACAGTTTTCTTTTTTAACACAACTGCGTTTCAATATACACACAACAATACAATTTACAATAACCTTTTTTACAAATATTTATTACAAACAATGATTTATAAACAAAAGTTTCACAAACTTACACGCAATATAAAGTCTTCTTTCTAGTTTGGAACTTCTTTGATATCTTATCGAGGGTTCACGATGAGCAAGTTAATTACGAGTTGACGTAGGTATAATTCACTTAACATGGAGCTAGCTAACTTTGTCCTTCGTTATTTACTAGCCACACACGCAGAGTTTCCACGATGAATTTATATAATGTTTTCGTAAAAATACTATGTCCGATAAGAATCCATGTAATGTTCGAACTTTGTAAAGGTTTCTTGTCAAATATCTGAAGTTTTCCGATAGATAACCGTTATAACAATCACAGTTATAGCTTCCGAAGTTTATAGCACAGTGATTATAGCAAACTAATAATCGATAGTCGCGTTGGTTATATTTATAGGGGTGTGGAGGCTTTCTAGAAATATCAGTTTTACGTAACAATACTAACGCTAACACAAGCGTTTACGTACACACATATATTGTTGATTCTTACTCTAGAGAATCTTCTGCAACTTTGGAGAATATGCGGGAGTTTTGCAATACATGTTTAACAGTGTAAGCTTTGCATATTTCTAAATATAAATTTAATCTAAACAAACGTTGATATTAAAATAAATATATAATAATAAATTTGTTACACTAGTAATTCACGAAAAGAACATTTTTATGTATATGATTCTCAAAGACATATTCCTACTTGGTCAACTGTATGACCCCTACAGATTATTAATTGTGATGGTAAAGGCAGTGAATTTTATTATGAATTTTGGGGTCTTCTCGTCTTTCTGGTGTTGGCTTTGTTAGCCTGTTGAGTTGTAGAAGCACGCTTTAATTTGGGTGTTTTGAAAATCTAAATGTGCTGCGGGTAAAACATACAGATTATTATGGATTTGTAGTTGAGGGAATTTCTGTCAATGATTATCATATTTGTGCGCTAGCATTAAAAAGCGATCACGATCTCTACCAGCCTACCTTCAAATTTAGATATATGCCCAAAGTAGCGCATCGTCCGTTATATATATGTGTGGCTGGAAGAATTTTATAAAGACAAACTTGCTCGTCAGAGCAGAAAACGCCGTCGTTTCGTACAAGTTGCGTGTCGATCGGTGCCGAGATATCGACGTGACAGGCGGACAGATGGACGGCTTTTCGTCCATAGTAGATTAAAGAGATACAACAGCAAACAAATGAATAATAATAAAATAATAAAACACATAAGATTAAACAGGTGTCTTAAAAGTTATCGGAAAAGTTTATGTTTGGAAAGAGTTACATGTTTTATAGGCTATTAAAGAGATTCTAGAGAACATAAGATTGTCTATAAGAAATTGGTATTGCTGTAAGTTATATCGTGTTTAAAGGAGGACAGTGAGGAAGCAAGTAGAACAGTCGTAAAGAAAAAGACCACGAAGTTTAGGCGACTAAATAATCTACAACTTTGGGAGAGAGAGATTTAGTTTTCGTAATTCATTTACTTTAACTTCAAAATGTAAAGTTAATCATAGACGACTCTTTAAGTATACATCTATAACAATACATTTGAATTTTGTAACGATTTCATTTTATTTAAATACTTTAATCAGTAATTCATATTTACGAGGTGCAGAACTTAAAGGAGTATACATTTTTTTCAAGTCTAGGGGAAAGGTAAAAAGATCAGTTTTTAAGATTTAGAGAAGGCCGACTTTTTTACTTAAAACGTTTCGTGTTTCTCGGTAGTACAGCGGTGATGCTAAAACCCGGGGCTCGATTCCCCGCGGTGGACTCATCAAATAATCTAATGTGGCTTTCCTCTAAAACAAATATGGATGAAGCTAATTTTCTGCTTGTGCATCCATCATTTTATTGATTACACGACCCTTAACAACACGAGTCACCCCAAAAACGTAAGTAACAAATACCATCAATATTGCAATTAATCCTACTAATTACTGCGAGGGTCTCCTATTTATTTTACACATAAAATGAGTGATTTCAATTTCAGCCAGTGTATTTAGTAACTTCTTTACACTGACCGTTGTAACAAGTAGAAGCATAAAAATACTCAATATGATCTAATACTTCATGGATCCCACAAGTAGAAAACGGTATACGAACAAGTCAATAACTTGATGGTAATTATTAATTTTTTAATTTTTTGTTATTCCAAATAACATTGATGAATGCAAGAAATATTAGACTATGTATTATTTCCTCGTCACAGCAGTGTGTTGTCTGTCAGTCAGTAAATAGACACTAAAATGACGTCACATAAGGGATGCTTAACGTTGCAATTGGTACTGTCGTGACGTCAGTAAAACGTGCACATGCCACGAATCACGAGAAGAATTAGTCACTTTGTAGGCTACAACACCGCATAGCATATGAACTTCAAAAGGAAAAAATAAAAATATTTATTACTCTTAATTTTGGTTTTATTTAATCTTGAAACAGAACATTATCGGGGACCCTGCGGAAAGTACATCTAGTATATAGCTTTCGTTTTATTTATTTTTAATAAAGATTTTTGTTTATATTACAGAGATTCAAGTTATTAACGTAATTCACTCTTATTTTAATCTTATACTGTCCGAAGAAGTTTGTAGGAGCAAGGACGCTAGGTTTCCTTTTTAGAGCGTTTTTTATTCTGTTTCACAAATTCAAGAAGTGAAACTAACAGAGTTAGAGGTTTTCTCGAAAGCTCAGTTTTGAATCAAGAACGAATGCTTCATAATACGCGAATTCAAACTTAAGGTATCTCTGCGAGTGTTTTTTTTTAACTGTATTTAAATATCTGGTTCTTTACCATGTGTAGCTTCCTCAACTTTTTGCTGATTTGGGAGGCTGCCTTGGATTGTATATTGGGGTCTCAGCCATCACCATCGTAGAGATTTTAGAACACTTCACTAGCATTATTAAATTCTTGTACGTTCGGCGAAATCGAGCTGCAGTTATGAACCATGAACTGTCACCGTCCAAAATATTTTCAAGCCCAATCACTAAGCCCAAGTTTCGAAACATTTCAATTCAAGTAACGGATGCCAACGGAAGTAAAGGAAGGAACGGTGTAAGACAAAAGAGCCCTTTGCAGCAAATTCAGCAAAAATTCACTCTACGTCGCAGCATGTAACCATCATGTCGTCAAAGATTCACTATATGCCGCAGCATGTAACCATCATGTCGGCAAAGATTCACACTACGCAGCAGCATGTAACCATCATGTCGGCAAAGACTCACTCTACGTCGCAGCATGTAACCATCATGTCGTCAAAGATTCACTATATGCCGCAGCATGTAACCATCATGTCGGCAAAGATTCACTCTACGCTGCAGCATATAACCATCATGTCAGCAAAGATTCACTTTTTCGCTGCAACATATAACCATCATGTCGGCAAAGATTCACTTTTCGCTGCAACATATAACCATCATGTCGGCAAAGACTCACTCTACGTCGCAGCATGTAACCATCATGTCGTCAAAGATTCACTCTACGCTGCAGCATATAACCATCATGTCGGCAAAGATTCACTCTACGCTGCAGCATATAACCATCATGTCGGCAAAGATTCACTCTACGCTGCAACATATAAGCACCTGGTAAAGCGTTCGATGTAAGTGTGGGATATGTTTTAAATGTAAAATGTTTGTGCATTTAAACTTAGTGTTGTTATTTTGTTGTATGTTTTGAAATTGCTAAATTTCGACTTTATATGGACTATGATTGACAGATGGTAAACTGTTATCATATTCTTGACCACTTACAATTATTTTGCTATGATTAATGATTTCACTTGATCGTCTTCAGTTAGTTAATTCTCATACAGTATGCTTATTTTAACATTGATGCTACAGTGTCAGGCTGTGTCTACACATTGTATTCAGGAACTAATTCACTGTTATCCATGATTATACAAGTAATAATTGAAAGTGCATGATAATATGCTTACTTATTTTTTATCACAGATTTTAAAAGTAAAAATACAAATATACAATCACAAAACCTCTTGATAATAATTCCCAACACCTTCGACTTATATTATAAATCTTGTTTTCAGTTATTATTACATGTTAAATTCGAATGCATTGAATACAGCATTCTTATTCGAGGCTTAAAATCTTTTCTAAGAATTTCTATTTGTCTCTAGTTCATTACATGCATTTATTCCATCGTGGTAGAAGTAATCCTTAAAAACACGGTGAGATAGTTGTCACGAAAACATTTTCTCCGATGATGGCGGTTGTATACATCATGTACGTTTACCCGGGAGTTCTTCTACTGTGTAAGGTTTTCATTACATTTCTGATCAAAACAAGCTACCTACATAGATCAGAACTACTTACGGCCGTAATATCAATAATATCTCACGAGGTTCAGAGAGCTTATAGAGATTTAGAATAGTTCTGAAACTATATATTAAGCTAACAACGAGAGCTTATAGAGGTTTAGAATAGTTCTGAAGCTATATATTAAGCTAACAACGAAAGTAATGCTTATAATAAATCATATAATAACAGAAATGAAAAACAATAAGACATATATCCAGTGATTCATATATATTAATAAGCTTCATGGGTATAATTTGACTGTTTTTGTAGAAAACTCTTTAACCTAAAAGTGTTTAACAAAAGGTTCTTATATAACTGGTCTTAACAAGGACTATATCCGGCCTGTCAAAAATATTTTGGCTACAGGTCATGCAAACCTAATCTTGACAGTAAGACACTGAATTAAAATGGAGGCATGTTATGCCTTTCTAATAGATTAATTTTGATATATTAAACTCTTACACCATTTGACTTGCAGGTCGCATTTCTTGAAAAATATGATATATATATATATGGCGCTATAGAAAAGGTCAAAAGCTTATTTTTTTCTTGGTCTGTGTGTTTTGTCTTATGTAATTATAGTTATAGACCTTGAGAAACGGCAAAACTTTAAATTAGACATCCATAGTTAAAAGTAAATTCAAGTGTAATTATAAAGAAGAAAATAGGATGAAAGTGGTTATATTTTCAATAAAAGTCATCCAACGTGTTTTATAAAAAGACTAAGTTACATAAGGGTCTAAAATCAAAGTCAGTAATTTTCTTAAGTTGAAGTTAAAAGCAGCAAGGGTCAAAGCAATTGACATAAGGGAAACACCATCATTGGGGATTTAATTCTTACATCCGTAAAGATCATGAATCAGTAAGTGTTGAAATAAATAAAGTTTTTTAGTGTATCCATCTTAGTTTAAGATCATCAGCAGACTATTGCAAAATGTATTATTTCATGTTTTTTAGCCTTAAAACCAAGTTTAATTTAACGTGTGAGACCAACGAGCAACTCTCTCTATTATTCTAAGAAGCTGAGACTACCCGTTAGGAAGACATATTGTATAAAGGACGATGTTAGATAATGTTCTCCTTCCTTCTTTCCTTTGTTATTAAATCACCAATGTCCTCATTATCATTCATTTATCAAGCCTTCCCTTGAACTCACTTTTGGCAGGGCAGGAGTCATCTTTTCTTTCTATAAGATCCATGTCTGTCTTAGCTGCAGCTGACTCCTACCTTGCAAAAATTTATATTTGTGTCCCCTAGTCCTACCATTCTCGCCATTAAGTATGAAAAAAGATGATGCATCAAAACTATCAATTCCCTAAACAATCTTAAACAACTGAAACAGATCCAATCTAACTCTTCTTTATTCAAGAGAAAACAAATTCACCCCGTATTACAACCTTTCAATCCTAGTAGGCCTTCTCTAAACCCTTTCCGACAATTCAATGTCTTTCCTAAGACAAGACGTCTAAGACTGAACACAATACTCTAAATGTGGCCTAATCAATGACCTATACAATGAAATTATAACCATTTTAGATTTGTATTCAATATCCTATTTGCCTACCACTAGCAACAGCATACTGCTTTTATGGCATAAGAGACTGATCAGCCACTACACTAAGAGCTTTTACATAACACTGTTAAAGTTATTCCCATCCAAATTATACTTATAATTCAAATTATGATGACCAACATGCATTTTCTTGCATTAATTATAATAAAACCAATCTGCCATTTATTTGCTCAACTCACTAAATGATATGAATCCTTTTGTAAAGCATCCTCCTCCTCCTTACAACCAGAAACATCCAATACCTTAATATCATAAGCAAATATAGGTAATTTATTGATCATTCTTTCATCTATGTCATTGATGTAAATGAAAAAGAGCAAAAATTCTAAGGCTGAACCCTGAGATACCTCACTTGTAACAATAATTCAGTTTGATCGAACTCCATTCATAATAGCCGTCTTCCATGCAGCTAACTTTCTATCTAATTAGCCAACTTATCCTCCACACCTATAGAGATGATTATTTTTACAAGCCTTTTGTGTGACACTTTGTCAATTGCTTTCTGAAAATCCAGATACACCAAATCTAAACATGTACCTTATCTATATAAGCAGTAACCCTTTCAAAGAATATCAAAAGATTTGTAAGGAATGATTTTTCCCTTAGTGAAACCACGTTGACTATCGAGTAAAATTCTAAACTTTGTTAAATGACTTTACAAAGCATCTTCTATAAGACTTTCAAAAAGTTTTCTTACAACTGATATAAGACTAATAGGCCGATAATTAATGGAAAATTTTCATCCCCTCCCCTGAAAAGAAGAGCAATATTAGCCAACTTCCAATCCTCTGGCATCTGAAAACTATTCTTCAAACTGAAGAAAAAGTAGAATTTAATAACCCAACCATCTAATAATCATCAGATACGAGCCTTCCTTTATCATCCCTCAACGGCCCTACTCTCGTACACACACACACACACACACACACACACACTTTACTCTTTTTAATCCGTTTATTAATTAGATCATAGTACCCCATTGGTTATGAGACATTCACCCATGCCTACGTAATTGGGTACAAATAAATTCAACCTCAATCTATTTAAAGAAATCCTTACTGTTAATTTTTATATTTTCAGCGAACCTTTTTTCATACACCCTTTTCGATGTCCTAGTTTCCTATTTGACCAGTTCTCTTGATATTCTATAGTATACCAAACAGCTTAAATTTCTTATATTTGTGATGCTTTTCTTCAGTTTTATCTCTTATATTCTTTGTGAGCCATCAGGTATTTTACTTGAAGTCACCATTTTCTCTCTATAATGTTTTCCTTTCCTACAGTAATTTCTCATCTGTACAAGCTAATGGCTGAAATCTGTTGCTTAATAGAACATGCTCATTACGATTGAATCATCTACTTTTAGCCCTAATAGTTGTGCCTCTAACTTCCTGAAAGTCACAATTAACTGATGTATCCTTTACATGTAAAAGGTTAAGTTCCTTTTGAAATCCTGCTGCCATTTCCCACAGTTTACACTTCTCCTTATCTATTGTCTCTACTCTAATTGGGATAACCTCGAGTTTCTTCTCCAACCTACAAATTCTGAAAACAAATTGCACATCTTCACTACTATCTTCCTTAAAAGTCCAGAGTTTCCAAATATGACCCACCCATTGCACTCATATCACTTAATAAACTGAACTACTGAAGGTCGTGGGCTTTAATTTTTGTACTACAAAGCAATAATACTTAAAAAATTTAACACCTGATTAACATCCAGAAACACCTTAGAGCATTGATTGGAGAGAGGAAGAGAGTCCAACGCTTGAAGTCTTAACATCAGTAATAATGCATATAGTTCTTGAAATTTCAGATAGTAATTTCTCGGCTATAAATTCTATACTAATACAAATAAGTACGTGAAGAATTCACTACATCAGTTGCATCAAGTCACAATGACGATGAACAAACTAACCAACAACATAAAAGTGTTGAATTCTGTTTTTAAAGCAAAACCAAAATCACACATATATATATATATATATGAAACAAGTTTTAGTTTGGAATATATAGTTAATAGAAAAAATAGCTTCAGAATGAGATGAAATTCCATATGATATTGACTTCAATAAGGGATAGAGAGAAACAGACAGAGTTGAGTACATTACATTAAAACGATTTTTAATATGCAAATCAACAAGTCATGTGATAACCAAAGCCGATTTAACTTCGCGATTGAACAGAATGTATGCGAAATAAATGTTGACATTGTTAGGATTTTCGTA